CGTTTGCGCGAGCTCATCCACATATTATGTATTGATTGGTAATAAAGAGAGATGCGTTAAATTGATCGTGTTAAATTGGAAATTTGGAAATTGAAATTTAATTATGCGTTATTCGATTAATTAATGGAAGAAATTTCCTGCGAGGATGAAGTTTTTTTAAGAAATAATTTGTATATTTGGGAGATCGATAACTTTACTTGCTTAAAATTTAATTTTTCGCTCGATTTAGTTGCTACTTCGAAATTCTTTCATTCAACAATTTTGGAAAAATTCAACTCATCGTGTGTGAAATCACATTCGATTAGAATTTGTATTAACGCGTTCTTCTTTAAATATAGATTAAATTGAACGCGTTATTGCAATGATGAAATTACCACAATCACACAAGAACAAGAATTAAATTGCTGGACAAACCTAGGAATCACGAGTCCGCGATTCCAGCATCCCGTCACGCAGCTGTTCGATCGATCCTCTACGAGCACGCGTGTATATCTTCAAAAATAATTCACGACACGCTTGGCCACGTGCCCGTGAACGTGATCGTTCGACAACAGAGGAAATCTTTGCTCGCATAATTCTATTCGTGGAAATTTATAACGCGAGTAATATAACTCGTGTATACTCCCCTCCCTCCACTCCCCCTCTCCTCCCCGCATCTTTCTCCCGTTTCAACACGAGATAAAATAACGAGTGAAAGGGGAATCGGACGAGCAAAGATCCGACGATCCGTCTCGTGATCCGCGTCCAAGTTCCACGAGCTGGACCACGACCTCTTGCGACAGGCTTCACAGGGGAGATCGAGGCAATTAAAACCGATAAACGATTAAAACCGGCGTTCGTTCACGCCACGTCTGGGTTTTCGCGTTATCGTTCAACCGTTTCGATTTCCACAGCACCATAACACCCTCCACGGACTTTGAACGCCTCGTTAAGATTGTTTACGTAGAAATCTTCTTCGAGCCAAGTTAAGGGGAAATATCTTTTTCCATTTGTGGATAGCGCGTAATTTCCCCTTTTTTTTTTTTTTTTTTTTTTTTTGAGAAATCGTTGATGGCATTGGTGGTGTTGATGACGAACAATTATATCGTCTGTTGAACGATATGTTGTTGAAATCGTTTGAGTTGGTTTGAATCGGTTTGACGATGTTTGAAACGAATGAATTCTTTTTTGCGTCGCGTCAAAGGGGTTTTTTCGAACGGAATACGTGAATGGAAGAGAAATTGCATGGATGGTGTCGATTGATGTGATATGTAGTTGTTTTGAAATCGACGATTTATTCGTCGACGAAGTTTGAATTGAAGTTTGACGAAAATATTCGAAGAAGCGATTTTGATGTACGCGAATGATGATTGAATTGACGATCAGAGTTTGAAGATTATCGAATAAATCGATGAAATATTCAAAACACGTTGAAACACAATGACGAAGCAAGGAAATTTCCTTGATAACGCTTATTAGCGCGCAGATATTCTTTTGAATGAAAAAATAGCTCTTTCGAAGTCGAACAACTACTTCATATTAGTCACGTAACATCTATAAACGAGAAAGAAACGAGAAAGAAAAATATTGTGCAAAATGCTATCTCATTTAATAGTAAAATCATCTTACGATACGCAATTATATTACGTACAATTGCAAAAACATCGATATTACGATAATCTCAATATTTTACTATTTTTTATTTTTATCTTTATTTTTATTCTTGTTTACGCGCTCATGCTTATTTTTGTTCTTTTTTTTCTTTTTTTTTTTTTTTTTTGTATGCGAATTCTTATCTCAACTTCGTGACATAATATTTTTATTTCTTCGCGAGCCACGTCAAAAAATGAAGCAACAATGCTATTTCGTTTCAAATAAGTTTGCACAATTATTTGCGCAAATTTTGATACAATTTTAAACGGCAGAAATCGATAAAAGATGAACGTTAATGCGCAAAAATGTAAGGAAACTTTTTATCATAGATTACAAATCCACAAATTCAAAACTTAAAATAAAAGATTAAAATTCAAGTATCCAAATACTTACTTTTATTTACGTATACCAAGAAACTATCATAAAATCTTTCGTACTCGATCTTGGTCAAAATATTTGCAAAAATCTCGAATTTTAAGCGAACTTCGATTCAGTTAAGCATATTTCAATGAAAAAAATAAACTATCAAAAGTGCTTATTCGGGAATATACCCAATATATACTTACTTATTTCCAAGAAATCTTCGATATCTTGCTCATTCTCGGCCTCGGTTTGGTCAAAATATTTGCGAAAAATACTCTCTCGTCGAGTATTAGACATCTGGGAATTGCGGCGCGATAACAGGGAGTCAATGATCCTTATTGGTCGCCGAACCAGACGGCTCGAACTGGTTATCGTTTCTGGAGCACCGTTATCGTCGGTCGCCAGTTCTTCGACGGATGTCAGGCGCCTCGTTACCTGCCATTTCGTTTCTTCGTCGCTACACGGACACGAACGAGGCATCGTCTAGACGTGGCCGCAAAAACCGTGGATAATTGCCTGGAAAAATGATGTCTCGATGCCTGTTGTGCGCGCGAGGCAGAAATTTCCATTTGATTCCGTGAAAGGAAAAAAAGAAAAAAAAAAAAAAAAAGAAAAAAAA